ATCATTACTGTTTCATTAGAAACACCGACGCAGCTCACACTAGTTTTTAGCTAGTTATATCTTTTTATGGTTTTACCATATGATTTTATACTCTTATCGTTGAGTAATCGAACATTTTTTGGAAGCCAGAGACGATCGTAGACTGTATGACAGATTTGTTGAAAACAATTGAAATTCTAGTTCAAAAAATCCCAAACAAACTGACCGCGTTTTTTTTAGCAATACCTCATTCTTTAGGTAATCTCTTTCGACCACCTCATCAAACCGTGCATGACATGACCTTGAATAATCACGGAATGGAAAAAAGGCAGCGCGTTGGTCCGTATGATTTGCGCAAATCTTGATTTTTGCTGGACGTCATCAAAATGATTGTTCAATATAATTGTTGAATTTCCTAATACGATAACTCAGACAAAACCATTCACTTTGGATTTAACATTGCAGACTTCAATGTTGCTATCATGTTGCTGAATAAATTCGTATCTTAAATGAAAATTTCTCAAAGATTTATTTTTGAGCAAATTTTTCATAAACTCATTGATGGCTTTATTAAGGTCCTATTAGCGAAAATGACATGATGATGCATGACGCCTGTCACAGGTAACCTGGGAAAACACCCTTAGGCCCCGTCCACACGTATCCGCAAACTTTTGTACCCGCAAATTTTTTTTTACGGATACGGGTTGCGTCCACCCGTGTCCGCAAATTTTTGTGTCCGTATCCGCAAATTTTACGAAAACGGCCATACGTGTGGACGGTGAAAACGATTCGAATACGCTGCGTGTGGACGCAAACATTTTCGTATCCGCAAAAAATAATTTGCGGATACAAAAATTTCCGGATACGTGTGGACGGGGCCTTAATAAACGAAGACATTAATATATAAGTATAATATAGACAAAGTGAAACTTATTCTTCCAAAATTCAAAACAGCGCCCGAATCAAAGTGTGAAGAGTGCGCATCTATTGTTCTTTAATAAAAAGAGTAAGATAATAAGCGCAATTTTGAACGGGCTGTCATTGTTCAAAGGAATACTAATACTTCCGTCAAAATCCTGTGTGAGGGGATGAGGAGAGCTAAAGATGTTTGGTTTGGGAATAGTCACCGAAGTCAGTTCTCTGCATGAAACACTCTTTCTTGTGTTTGATACATTACGTAACATCTTTCCCATAACCAAATTAGCCATCATATCGATATACATAGAATCAACTAAACACACACACACACACACACACATCACAAGCTTAGTACAACTAATTAACAACTTAGCGTGCACTTAACTTAACAAGTACCTTACAAATACTCAATAACTACTTAATATTAATTATCATAAATCCTTTGTTCGTTGTCCTTGTTCTTGCTTTATTACTTCTCATAATGCTTTACACTTTGCAAGCAAAAAAGAGGAAAAACTTGACTAATTTGTAGAAGCTATAAAATATGTACAGGTTATCATATGGTTTCGAGTGCCATTTGCAGCTAGGTGATATTAAAGCTCTTGAAAAATCGATGAGTGAAAATTAATTCCAAATTGAATGAGAAACCATATGATTACTCATCAATAATATACATGCAAAAAATTTACAATTAACTTTGTGCAATGTGCAATTAACCTTTTTCTGCTGTTTATATTGGTTAACAGAAAACGCTCTCTAGAATTCCAAATTTCTCGACAGATATACCTAGTGCAAAGGTTTTGGCGCCAACGCAGGCTTTTAAACTCATTAATAGTTTATGAGAAGAAAACAAATATCACTACCGCGTGACGGTACCAGTGCGGGAATGCGATCTTGATCATCTTTGAGGCTCATATCAAAGACTTAAAAGGATACTTTAAAGCCCCGTTTACACTGGCGATGTTTGCGGCGATTTTTGCTGCGATTTTTGTGGCAATTTTCGGAAATATGAAATCTTTTGTCTCATCCTTCAAAAGAGACATTCGTCTAGGAAAATCTTGGTATCCTGAAAAAAAACTTTACAAGTAAATTCTTTACCATTATTTATTATGGACAATATCGGGGGAAAAACGCAGCAAAAATCGCTAGTGTAAACGGGGCTTAACGTAGTTCTAAAAAAGTTTTTATCAGTTTATTAATTCTATATGATTAATATTAATTGTTTATTGAAAAGGAAATTACCTTAATTTTTCACGCTCCATTAACTATGACTACAAGAATGAATAACATCATTAGCTTGGACACTATTGACCTCATGTTCGGTACCAGCCTCCACCACCTTTCTTATTTAATGGGGCGGTTTCTTAAATTATATTATACAATCACTTGAGCTGTTAATCGTTCAGTTTGTCCTAAAGCCTTGGTATTCAAGTCAACATCGAGAGCGGGTCTTGTAGATCAAGGTAACTACGAACTCACATAAATTTAAGCATTTCTTTATTCTCTACTTTCACTTTCCAAAATGCTTTGCACTTTGGGGGCAAAAAACAGCTAGAAAAAAATATAAACAATATGCTGTTGACTAATTTTTAGAAGCTATAAAATATAGCTGGTAATTCTTGCGGATGTATCAGAAAAAAAAATTTGAATATTTAATTTCAAGGAATTTCTTAGGAGGCAAAAAATCAGTTTATTTTCCAATTTAAAAAGAATAGAGTAAGATAAACTTAACAACTGTTCAATAGCTTTTACGGGAATTTTTAACCATTTGTTCTCGAAAACTAGAAAAGAGTATGAATGGGAAAAGGGCAAAAGGTTTTGGACTTAAGTTTTGGACTTACGACCAAACGACGATGGTCTATTAAGGACTGACCATTAGATAATTGTGGAAGGGGTTGCGTAAGATACAAAAAAATATCGAGCAAGCACTTCATCTCCGAAAAAAATATCGCGTAACCCGTCCTTTCAGTAAAGAAATATCGAGCAAATACAAAAGAAATTCCATGCAGGGGTTGTTACAAAAACCTTCTCCTGAAATATCTAATGATCGATCCCTTATAGGACGTAATGAAACACATTCTTTGTGAACCTCACTACTTGAGGACGTCAATAATAGAGTTCTTTCAAGGTTGCTCCGTTTATCTAAATTCAATGAATTAGAAATAAAACGGCCTATTGTTTTGTCCCCCAGAACAAAAGTTCCCTTCACAGTTCCCTGCGCCATCTTGAAAGGTAGCCGTGCCTTTGTATCGAAGCGAGACAAACAGTGAGCTTGCAATGATAGAGACATGTGAATAATTGTCCAAGGTGTTAAAAAAGGTCTCTATCATTGCATGCTCACTGTTCGTCTCGCTTCGATACAAAGGCACGGCTACCTTTCAAGATGGCGCAGGGAACTGTGAAGGGGACTATTCCTCTAGGAAATCAATGCAAGGCCGAGTATATAAACATATTTACCCAATTTGCACATTCAGAGTTTTTTTAGTTCACTACATTTGTTTTATTCATTCATTGTTTTTCACTCGTTATTTTTAGTTTACTTTTCTTCAAGACATGGCGTCCTTTCACAAAATCAGCGCTGTGCAAGTGTTGATATTTTCTGTGATACTTCTGTTGGCCCGAGGCGAAAACACGCAAAAGGTTGCAAGCTTCGAAGAAGGTTAGGTTTACACTTTTTATACACCTATTTCTAAAAAAAACGTTCTCGTTCGGAGATCTGAAATTGGAGAACTGAGACTAAACTGAATTTTTTTGTTTTCTGCCTAAAATACGAAAAATCACATTTCTAACCTGAAGATCACGCTTCATATTCCGATCTAAACAGAAACTACGTTGATCGACATTGAATGTAATATATTTTCCAGCGTGTTACTCGGTAAGACAACTTTTTTGAAATGGTGTCCTACAATCATTGCCATAATTAGTTGGCACGCTTGACAGATTTTAGTATTTTAGAGGGTACTTCGCAAAACACTACCTACGACTAAACCCCCTTCCCCCATACAATGTTGGGATTCCTGGAAGTTGGCAGAGGGTTGGTGAGTCTGATCAGGGGTACCAACTTTCTTTCAGGGAACAGCAACATTGTACAGGGGGGAGGGGGAGGGGGAGAGCGCGACAGAGGAAAGCCATTTTCTGTGTTAGCCAAAATGTGCCATCGTGCCAAGTATTTTGGCAATGATTGTAGCTACCTTCCAGTAAGGTGCGGTAATTATAACTACTTTTAATTTTTTCTAAAGTAAAAAGCCGTTACATGACTAAATCTTGCATTACTCATATATGTACCTATATATTCTTTAATTTTATATATGCATACTGACATAATGATTCTTCTATATATTTTTAGACACCTAATAACAACCCTTACAAATTGAACGAGTGTATGGTTGGTGAGTGGGAAAGTCAAGATAGTTCGTCCATTCCAACTATCCCGGATTTAATGTGGTTCAATACACCATCAATAATTGAAATCGAACCAGGTAAAAAAAAAAAAAAAAAAAGAATGTGTGCTGTAGCAGAACATCATTATAAGAAATATTGCAATTTATTATGATTAGAATATCGAATTTTTATCGTATTTTGTTTATGTTCACTTTCGCGATATATTACTATTATCATGAACTTATAATTATCATCACTATTATCATTATTATTATCATCATCATAATAATAATTATTATCATTATCATCATCATCGTTACCGCCATTTGCATTGCTACGTGGCCACCCAAGACAAAAATCGCGACGTGCACTTTGCAATAAACTGTCGTCATTTACACGMGTTTGGATCGATCCGGATAGTCCCGGTAGGTGTGGCTCATAATACTTGTAACAATCGACAAGTTTTGGCGCCTTTTGAATGACACACGCGTGTAAATGACGTCAACGTGTTTGATTGACGGAAGTCTATTGCAAAGTGCACGTCGCGATTTTTGTCTGGGGTGGACTCGTAGCAATGCAAATGGCGGTAATGATGATGATGATAAGGATAATAATTATGATGATGATGATGATAATAATGATAATAGTGATGGTAATCATAAGTTGATGATAATAATGATGATAATAGTAATATATCGCGAAAGTCAACATAATATCATCACTATTATCATTATCATTGTTATGATTATCATCATTGTCATTATCATTATTATCAATATTAATACTTATTATTTATATTATTAAGGTCACTATCAAGCTACTGGTCGAATAATCGAGGCAAATTACTTGAAAATGCGGCTGGAATCGAAAAACATAAACTTCAATACTGTTGAGAGAGAAAATATGGACTCATTTCTGCAATTGGATATTCTGGCAGACACTTTTCACATTAAGGTTTTTTGACAATGGGAGTTTCTTATATAGCGCATTACATTACATATCTCAATTCACTTTACATACTTCATCTAAGTTCACAAACCACAAAAAAATCGACATACGGTCTATCCCTTCGTGTTAAAATGTGCTTTTTTTGCTACAAAATAATGAAAATTTACGTCTAATTTATCTACTTTTCTTACTACTTATAGGGTGAAGTTACTTTTTATGCTCTTCAAACTGTTAAAATATACGCGAGGCAGATTGTCGCTGCTAAAGGAAGTCGGATCGTTTTTAAAACACCAGACTGGAAACAGGATTTTGCTACACCAGTAGGAGTTCAGACTAATGGAGTTGGAACAAACGGAGAAAATGGAAAAGACGGCAAAGATGGACCTCAGGGTGAGTGAGTGATGATATGCAATGGTTCACTTGGTACATTTTTCTTCTCCATCTTCTTCTTCTTCTCCCTCTGCCGCTCCCCCTCCCTCTCCATATCCCTTAGAACATTTAACTTTTAATTTTTCAGTCGACGTATTTTGTGGCGCTGTACATGGCGAACTTGATGTCATTTCCAAAGGAGGAAATGGACACAAGGGACAAGATGGTGGCAATGGTCGTCCCGGTGCTAATGCCGTCGATGTAAGTAATTATTTACTATATTCAATGTTTAATTGCCACACGCCATGATATTACATTACAACTGCATACAAAAGCCTGGTCCTCAATAGCGACATAAGCATAAGAATCTTATGCGCCAATGAGGACAGCTGAAACATTAGCATAAGAATCTTATGCGCCAATGAGAACAGCTGAAACATTAGCATAAGAATCTTATGCGCCAATGAGCACAGCTGAAACAGTAGCATAAGAATCTTATGCCTCAATGAGGACAGCTAAAACACAAGAACAAGCATAAGAACCTTATGCGCCAACGACACAAGCATAAGCACATTCGATTAGCTATTAGCCAATCGCGTTACCCTTTCCCAGTCCTCCTCATTTATTCGAGCAAACACTCTAATGTATTGCTGTGCGATCAGTTATAACAAAAACATTCTATTATTTATTATTWTTTTTTTTTTTACAGAAACCTGACAAGTACGGCGATGGTTTCCAACATTGTGCATATGGCGGCTGGTCTGGATGGGCAAACGATCTTGATTTTAATAAAGTATTCCGAAAATGTGATAAAAGAAGTAGAAATTCAGAAAGAGGTAACCCCGGCGGCAATGGAGGAAGAGGAGGAAATGCTGGAACTCCAGGTAGGAAAGTTAAAACTTGTAGGCAAATTCGAAGGACAATTAATACAAGGAATCCGAAGGCGGAAGGACCTTCGTTGTAACTTCGAGCAAATTATGGAATAGTATCCCTTTATAAATACGGAAAGCGGACACGATTGCATGCATGTTTTAAACACAATCTGTGGAGTAGGACTTTTAGACAACTTTTAGAACATTTTAAGGTAAAGTCTCAATTTATATTTTTTCTTAATTATTTATTTATTTCGGTATTTTTTTCTATTTTTTTTTATTTATGTAAACTATACTTTACTTAGTTCTTTAATGATATAATTTCTAGTTTTTTTAATCGATTAATTTCTAGTTTTAGCTTGTTATATAGTATATATATTATATTATAAAATAACTGTTATGAATCTCGCGTTCTGATTGGTTGGATGCGCGTGTTTTATGAGAGCACGCAGCACGCGCGCGCACTTTCAATTTCGTCATTCCTGTAATTTGTATTTTATAAAAGAAATAAAAAACTTGCTTGCTGTGCTGTGTGCAGATATAAAGCACTTGGGGATTGGCAGAACACTCCAGAAGTGTCGTGCTTCTCCTAACACTTCTCTCGTGTTCTGCCAACCCCCGCGTGCTTTATGACGGCACACAGCACGCGCGCGCGTTTCCTATTTCTTTAGTAGATATATTTAAATTTTGAGGGCCACAAGTTTATTAGCGTTGCTATTCCGTGCTACCCTCGTAAAATAGTCTTTATTATTATTATTATTATTATAGTTAATTACGGAGGACGTTATCTCGACCTCGAATCAAAAATATAATAAATCATTTGATTGTTCCGATTTTTTTTTTCACCTTTCACTTTTTATCTAAATTGGGCTCCATGTGGAAGTACATAACGTCTGAAGTCAAACATTCAACTCCCTTGTTCACTCGAGTACAAAATCGCAGTTTGATAATTCAGTATTTTTTAAATGATCCCTGATATTTTCTGCTCAATGCCAATATTCGTTTGTTGTGAATATTTACTTCAGGAAAAGGTGGGAATGCTGGAGGTGTTACTCTGCGCTACAGAAATTTAAACGGGCGTGTAAAAGCCAAGGCCTGCGCGGGGATTGGAGCCGATGCAGCCACTAATGGACAAGGTGGAAAAGGTAAGTCAAGCTAGTAAGTGTTTGGGTTGGTAAATAGCTTACTTTTGTTTCATGGAATTTTTTTAAAAAGAAATGTCAGCGAGAATAGAGGTTCCATGGAACATCATTCTCGTTCCAGGTCCTTGCGCTCTTGAACTTTGCCGAGAAAGACTCGGGGCGAATCCAACTACCACTGTTTTCTGATTGACTATTACAACAATGAAAAGCCGCTAAAACAATAGTACCGGAACGACAAAAAGCTGATTCCTGCTTTTGGATTCGCCCAGAATAGAGGTTTTGCACCATCACTTGCCGGCAGCCATGTTAGATGGCAGAACAATAAAATCCCTTTGCTTTTGGGAATTGAATTCTTTCTTATGTAAAATGATTGTACTGTTCCTGCCATCCAAGATGGCTGCCGGCACGTGATGGTGCAAAACCTTAATTGCCCTTTACCCAAAGCACAATCTGGAAGAAGACGTTGTAATGATCGTAGAACCGAAAACTAAGCGAGGAGAGTGGCCACTTATAAAGTTTTAGTGTATTCATAACTCAATATGACATGGGTTTAAAATCACAGGAGGAAACGGCGGGGCAGGAACACCAGGAATAAACTGCGATTCTAAGGAAACCACCAGATACACCGCACAAATACGGATATTTAGTTGTCGTAAGACCGGAAAAGTATCAGCCTCCAGAGGAAAAAATGGTGGGAAAGGAGCACCAGGATCAAGTAAGGGAACTAGCCATTCTGAGGTTGAGGCCGGAAAAATACAATACAATACAATATGATATACTGTAAGGGAACTAGCCATTCTGAGGTTGAGGGAAAAATACAATAAAATACAATATGAGATACAGTAAGGGAACTAGCCATTCTGAGGTTGAGGGAAAAATACAATACAATATGATATACAGTAAGGGAACTAGCCATTCTGAGGTTGAGGGGAAAATACAATAAAATACAATACGAGATACAGTAAGAGAACTAGCCATTCTGAGGTTGAGGGGAAAATACAATAAAATACAATACGAGATACAGTAAGGGAACTAGCCATTCTGAGGTTGAGGGAAAAATACGATACGATACGATACAATAAAATACCTATTACAGTTTCCCAACTTACAGCCCTGAACAACAAGACAACAAAAAATAATAATAAATAAATAAAATATAGAGATAAATAATTAAATAAATATACTACAAATACTACGATATTGATTGAGCATATAAAGACAGCAAAAAATTATTAATTTGCAAACGAAAACATAACATGCGTTTTTCACTCGTGTCAGAAACCTATACTTTAACTAATAAATACACCCTTCCAAAAGAGAATGAAATAAATAATAAAATAACCTCGTAAATAGTTTAAGTTTTAAAATTGGCTTTTAGCTCCTAACAGCAAAGGACCAGATGGCACCATCAGTAAATCTTCTATTAGTAAATCAGAGACCATAGATACAGCAAGCAAAGAAAGTTTTCCAGAAGATCTTCTTCTCATCATAAGAAGAAAGGCAGTGGACTTGTTGCTAGGAGACAGCAAGAATCAGGAGGGTAGAGACGCATTACAGTTTCTTGTCGACATAACGACAGGAAGAGCTGACGTCGAATATATAATGAAAGGTGAGCGAACGGCTATTTGAACTGAGCAAAACGTTAAAAATACTAAGTTAGCGTTACATGATATTATAAATTAAAGAAAAGAAAAATATGAAGCTATTGCAAAACGTTAGTTTTCACAAAATATTCCATTTCATTTGTTTTAGATGCCCAAAGAAAACTTGCTTTCCTCGGTCAAGACGGTTTTGACATTTTTGGAAAGAACCGTCTCTTTGCCCCTCTAATAAAGTGGGAATCACTTGAAGAAGACGTAAACAGAATAAAAGACGCAGCGAAAGCATATGAAGACGCCTTCACGAATGTTATGGATCAAGTAGAGAGGGAAGAAAACTTTCAGAAGGTATACAAATGCTGCCCCTGCAATAAACCTTTCTACCCAACCGGCCATGTTTGCTTCGCGATGTTGTCGTCTTTGACCCTTGTTGATTTGGTGCAGAGCACGAGTATTTTGTTCGCTTTCCGAAGAGGACTCCAGAAACGATGCAACTGAAGGAGTTAGCCCTGGCCTACGCATGTTAGATCTTGTTCTTGAATAATATAAGCACGACTTATTTTCCAAAACTGAAAACAAAAAAAAAAAAAAACAAAAACAACATCAATGGATCTTTACCACGCGGCAGCCATGTTTTTTTTTCTTACGGCAGCCATGTTGGTTTGAACAATAGATTCCAACACGCGCGCGTCGCCTCGCATTCAAATCCTTGAGAATAAACTTATGCGGGTTAAACAGGTTATTATTCTCATAGGAGAATAAAGATTAAGGTCGGTCCATAAGTAAATGTGAAGGGTAGTGGGTATTTTAGCTCTTCCAATCATTCCATTCATTTGAAAAGATCCAGATTTGATGTAATTTCACCTTCAATCGTCGTTTCTTTGCAGATAGCGACTGTAATGACCGGCGTATCGTCTAAACAAGTAAATGCACAGAAACGACGTCTTATTGCGGCTAGAGGCATAGACGAAAGTGAGAAAAGAATGTATCTTAAGGTACAGTATTTAGATTCTTGTTCACCACTTTCTATGTGAAAGGTCTCAAAAACGAATATAACTTTTGAAGTGTGATTTCAGGGTCCATTTCCTCAAAAAATCTGCTAAAACCAAAACTCGTATCCCCAACTTATCGTCTACATACAACAATCAAAATTCTGTACAATAATTCCTGCTATGAAGACAAAGTTAAGAAAAATCTTCACCAAACTGTTTTTAATTGTGGACCCGGAAGTCACTTATTCATACCTTACTCCGACGAAGGACTAGCGTCCGAAACATCAGTAAGTTTTTTCATCTTTTCACGGTCTAAAATTTACCCTTTTATCATTACTGTTTCATTAATACCTTATTGAGTAACGTCACACTTAAAAGCTCCCAACTTGGTAGTTGATGAATTACGACAATTCGACTAAACTAACACCAGCTCTTGTCGACTTTTCGGTCAGCTCTTTCCTGTTAAAAAATGCTAACATCCTCGTTCCCAGTGCTTCTTCAGTTTTTAAGAACAACTGGAGGGCCTAGGGCTGGTGACATACGAGCGGGATGGCCCATATTCTCTGCACGTTGAACAGAAACTGCGCATGGAATTAATGCTTAGAATTCCTCAGCCCACTAAGGATATTTTTGAAATTTAGTTTCAAAAAAACCAAATCAATGTTCCGTCATAGCAGTTTAGATGCTTTTTATCTTCTTCTCAAAAAAGGATAGATCTGTCTTTATATCTTCAGGTGAAAAAAGTGATAATAGAGAGTTTTTAGATTTAGATTTAGATTTACAAAAGAGCATTTGCGCTTGGTGAGAAGGTTTGTAAAAGGTAAAGTAAAATAAATGAAAATTATGAAAACGTGGTCACGTTTGCTTTTGCGGGGAGAAAAAAAATCAATCTAAAACTCTCTAAGACGACGATCATAAGGGGTCGGACAATAAGAAAAAAGCGGCAAGATGATCTAGCACTAAAAGGACTTGTCAAGAGGTATATCCTTCACTTAACCTTTGCCCATATTTTTGTTTATGCAGACCATCACAGAATCAGAAGTACAGATGGACAATACCCTTATAAGAATTTCCTCATTATTGAAAGAGGCTCAAAAAACAGCGAGTGAAAGGTTATCCAAACAACAATTTATGGCAATGCTTCAGGGTATTTCAGGGTTTGCTTCCGCCATATTTGACAGTGCTACATCTGCAGACTCCAAAGGCCCATTTGCCTACATTGACACAGCCATTGATATTGCCCAACACGATGCCAATAAGCCTTGTCGCTCGGCTCTTAAATCCGTTCTTGCAAGTGCCAAGAAATGGCTGACTTTTGGAAAATACAAACCACGTGAGGATGCAAGTGAATTGGACTTTGACAAAGTAGAAGTTAGCTCAGTTCCTGATATGATGAAGGTATCATGCAATGTTTTGTCGTGCCATTTCTCAGGGTTACGCATAATACTCGTACGCGTAGAATTGTGAGTCCCACTAATTGGGACGTTCAGTAAACTGAAACAGTGGTAAAGAACTTTTAGTATGACTGTGAAACGCTCACGGCAAGAACACGGTCGTGACACGGCAAGGCATACCCCAGACAAATCACATCTAATTGACGGAAATTAACTATCCATCCAATCAAACCCCCGAAACACGGCATGAACACGGCGTGGACACGGTCACGCCAATGTCACGACACTGCCAGACCAATCACATTGCGCGAAAAATATCCATACTTTCCTGTTCAAATCAAGGTGCCGAGATCAGAGGTCAAACTCAATTCACTACATTTTGAAATAAGAAGTTAAAGCTATGCCAGTTTGAGTTTGTTTATGGTTGGTCCAAATCGTTCCAATGAAGGTCAAATGATGCAAGGAGATCATAAATCTCAATTACTATTTCATTTTCATCACAGTTTCATCTTAACCATATATGATTACGTCTCAGAATAGTTTTCCACCTTTGTTTCTAATTCTTGTTTTATTTTGTTTGTATTAAGGCCAATCTGGAGATGAACAAAGAGAAGTTTGCTGCTGACCTGGTATGCCTGCTGGAGGAGGCTTCTAGACCTCGTGACGTTGCCGGCCTTAAGGCGGAAATTGAGTCCTATTTCATTTTGGGCGCTGCTCGCATCGACACGATAGCAAACGTTATGGACCTTGACAACACTATTGGGGGACACAATTTTGATATCCCACTGCTAGATCAGACAGAGAAAGCAATAAATAAATTAAGCGAGCTACCAGGTATGAAAGCAAGTCAGTCTCTTGACTGAGACAATAGATATTAAGTTATATTAGTATTTTTACATTTTAAGTGAATATGCTTTACATCCAAGCGAGACGAACGGTGAAATTTGAATAATCGTCCGAAGTGTTTAAAAAAGTCTCTATCATTGCAAGCTCACAGTTCGTCTCGCTTCGATGCAAAGGCACGGCTACCTTTCAAGATGGCGCAGGGAACTGAGAAAGAGACTATTGTATTTCTATTGTTGTCATTGCAATCTAGATGCCTCTATAACGAACAGACTTCGGCAGACCTTCTTGGAAAATCTGCTCGGTACTTACAAAGAACTGGAACGGTCGTTAATGGAAAATATCTACGAGCTCCAGAAAGCCCTTGGTTTCCGTACACTCTGGAATCTAGATAGTGTCATGAGCTCGTTCCAACGCATCGCCTCAGAAAGTGCGCTGGGCACCGGGCAACTTAATGGTGCAGTCGAACTCTCAAAAGTACTTGAAAAGATCAACGAAATCACATCGAAGGCCAAACGGTGTTTCTCAAATGAGAGATACGCAACTAACGTTCAGAAATGGAGTTTCGATAATGTCAAGAACAAACAGGTAACCGTCAAGTATGTAGTCTCCCTCGCATCCGTTTTTAGTGTCGGTCGTCACGCAACGTTGCGTGACGACCGACACTAAAAACGGTTGCGAGGGAGACTATCAAGTATGTGGTTGATTCATATCATGAGATGCCAGCATATCATGGGAAAGGACACCCAGTTATAGTTGCTCCCTCCTATATTTAAATTGCTTTATTTAAACAATATGCAAATTAACTTATATATAGATATATTGATATATTTGAGTTTTGCAGAATGTTTTGCAAATGGCTGTACACACACACACACATATGTATATAAGAGAATGTTGTTTAATTTTCAGATGTTTGAGGAAATACAAAATGGTTCCACGAGATTCAGTATAGGAGAGGATCAAATTTGTGACACGTGTTACAATGCGCGGCTCCTAAAAGTACGTATGCTATAAAGTACATAGTAAATTTGAGAGGGCCAACTTGGCAAATTTGTAGTGCTATTTTAGCCCAGGCTAGAGCCCAAATAGAACAATGCCATTTTGGCCCCACAGAAGACATTTTGATATGGGTCTATCAGTACTGTTTTGGAACTCTCAACTAGGTCAAATCAGGGGGAAAATCCATATAAGGGGCTTAAACAGTCCCAAAATCAGAGCTAAAAAATGGCCCCTACCGGTAGTGCCAAAAATAGCCCTATTTAAGGAGGCCACTATATGGTAAAAATTTTGGCCCCATCTTTGGGGCCAAAACCACCCTATCCGATTTACTAAGAAGATATAACTAGCTAAAAACTAGTGTGAGCTGCGTCGGTGTTTCTAGTGAAACAGTAATGATGAAAAGGTAAATTATACACCGTGAAAAGATGAAAAAACTTACTAACGTTTCAGACGCTAGTCCTTCGTCGGAGTACTATAATTTACCTTTTTATCATTACTATCCGATTTACTGTGTAGTCTCCTCCGCCATTGGTTTCGGTTCCAGATCCTCACGGGCCCGTGAGGATATGGGACCAAAACTGAATGACGCCTGTGGAGGAGCCGACGTTACTAAACTCCTAAATACTTTGTGATCAAAACCATGGAAAATATTTACATGCAAAATTTTTCAAACCTCAAAAGAWGACTACTATTTTGTCTTGACCCAAAATTAGACTAGAGTTGATTTCATATACACTGCAAATTCATAGCTATACTTGTAGTATACGTTACTGTAACCATAGCTACCGCGTTCTGATTTGACTATTATTTTAACAGATGTATATTGAGCTCGATGGCCCTGAGGCGCAACCTGAAAGCGTTTGGGATGAGGTCAGGCTTAACGTCCGCCACTTAAGCAGAGCTTATTTTCGCGCGGGTGATGGCCAAATACAGCAATACCATACCCCAATAACAAATTTCAGGAAGCTTATTTTTGACCGCTATGAAATCAGCAATAGGAAGAAGTGCCGGGAAAGTAAACAAAACCCTAACCAATCTGGTGAGTAATCCTTTAAGCTAAAATAAGTTAAAGTACTTTAAATTTAAATGTGAATTGTGACATGATAAAGGTATTTTTAGGAATACAATTTAATAGGAAAGCTAGTTGTAATATAAAAGACAGCGTTTCGCTGTCATCTCGAGACAACATCATCAGGTCTAATGAAAACTGTAAACTCTACCTCCTTTAGCTATATTTACATATAGTAGAGTTTACAGTTTTCATTAGACCTGATGATGTTATCGAGATGACAGCGAAACGTTTTCTTTTACAACTAGTTTTCTTTTGAATTGTGATTCGCCAAGCAATTGTTTGGTGTTTAATTCATAACTACGTACCCTGGATAAACAGGTTGTGCACCTAGTAAATGATAATAATAAAGAATGAATATTAGTATATGTAATAGGAATCCATGCTGTCCAATTAAGAAATAATTGGACGAGGAAAATTCCGAGGACTTCCAAAATTGGATGAGGCCATAGGCCGAGTCCAATTTGGCAGTCAGAGGAATTTTTCGAGTCTAATTATTTCTTGATTGGGGAGCATGAAATCCCATTACCTATTAATTATATAGCTGCCTAATTAATCCCATATCAACAAGACCTGTCCAATTAAGAAAATAATTGGACAGTTACCTATATGGGATTAATGAGAAGCTGTATAATTAATAAACAGTAATAATGAATTATATAAGTAAATAATAATAATAATAATAAAAATAATTTTATTTAAATAAACCTTAATAGTCTATGCATGTCTTAATAGAAATAAAAATACACTCACGAATTACTTATTTATCGATAAAAACATATTTGTGAAATATAAATTTAAAATAATTAAAATTTAAAAATGAATAAATAAATGAAATAAAATAAAATAATAATAATTAGCTTCATTATTTATAATAATAATCAACATTAATATTATCGATATCATCATCGTCATCAACAGTAAATTTCCTTTCGGGCTAGTCGCGTAGTCGCGGAGCCGGTCAGCGACAACGTTTTTTCAAAAGACTGTATATACTTATTTCAATAAAGTTAGTCACCAAAAACCTAGAAAGCTGTGATCGCTGAGAATCATGGGAAATATTTCATATTCAACAAGTAAAGCTTTTGACACAAACTGCAGCAGTTGAGGATGCTCAGAGGAGGTAAACTTGTAACTGGTAGAAGATCTCAAGTCCATCAACAGTTATCAAGCGCTTGAAACATGTAAAATGTATCTACCCATAATCCTTCCGGTCTCAGCTTTGTAGCTTTTCAGGTGACTATTTTCATAGGTTTTATGGACATAAATAACAAATCTCCTTTCAGGGTCTAAATTCTGCGTGGAAAAGGACGATTCTCGCTTGGAACCTATGTGCAGCCACTCATTAAACGGTGCCTCGGTCAATGGTCTGATGATGGGAAAGGATGAATGTACAAGCCCGTCTGGCTTTTACGAGCTCAAGATCCCTGTTGACAAAACGTTGTCCTGCACGGATACTAAGATGCGAAACACCAATTGCAAAGATCTTGATGTAAGTCAAACCAGTATACGTTGTACACTGATGGACTACACTCTTTGTCAAGTTTATTTATCTTACAAATTTCAGTTTCCTTGTGACCACTTTTTTTTTGTGATTATCGTCACCATTATGAAGGGGAATAAAACAAAAGAAATGATAGCGATTTTAGGATGAATAATATTTTTTGTTTTTGTTTCATTCTTCTCGCAATCGGCCAGTTGTCGCCTTTTTAATTGCGTTCACTGACATTTCTTTCTTTTTTCCTATTTTTCCAGCTATCAAAGTTCACTAAAATGAACGTTTGGTTTTATTACATTTACTGGTCAAATGCTTACCCTAAGGATCCGAATGACCCTATATGCAACATCCAAAAGGATTCAAATAAGAGTCATTGATTGGGAACATCAAAAAGTAACGCCCTGGATGACCGAGATACACTGAAATGTCAATCCCCATGGTTTGATCTGCATGCATATTTTAGTTTACTGATAGATAACTAACACAGAATTAGCATGCAACACGGGGGATAATCACAATCACGATTCAAATAAAAGTAACATTGCAGCAGAGAAGTCTTTAGTGTCTGGCTATATTTACTTGAACATCACCATATTACAATGGTACGCTCTTTTAGTCCCCCACACATGAGTGCTATTGTGAATTCATTTCAAAAAAGAACATTCATCGATTACAGTAAATCGATTCATTTATTATATTATTATTATTATTATTATTATTATTATTATTCATTATTTGAGAATTTGCCCGAAGGCTGTGCATAAGTCCTCTTCGCGGAACAATTCATCAAATTCAAGCTACTTAAAGAAATAACTTTAACCCACCCCACAATACGCCTAACCCGCATTCATTATTCTACCTCCCTACTGTTGTTACGTCGGGCAAAGTGAAATGTATTTTTGATATACACAGAATGGAACAGACACCGATTGCTGAAAATTGTCAATGCATGAATGAATCAATACATTCTAAAGATACATTTAGAAAATAATCGATAAATACTAAAACATCTTATGAATTCGGGTAGGCTGATCGTACATTCTTTATTCCATTGGGAAAACTACCCATCGTTTGGGTGGACACTCAAAGTCGGGATCGGTCTATTAACTCATTCATTCAAGACATAACAGCATTGCGTATTTAAGGAACACCAATCAACGCTACTATAAACTTTTGGTGGGTTCACTTTTGGTCAGTCAAAATAAGAAATTTAGCCAGAAAAAGCAAAAACTGAATTATAAAGTTGATTTTACCAGTTTAACTAGTATTTTTTGCGTCGGCTACAATACGAGTACAAGGAAAACTGATGGTATTGCTGGCTTCCAACCATTCCCAAGAGAATTAAATAACAAAAGACACGGCGGCCATGTTGGAGGATATAACAAAAGAATTCATTGACAATTCTTTTGTCAAGCTCCTCCAATATGGTCGCCGTGAAAACCATCAATATGGTGGTTTACGCACCAACGTACAAAACGGTTGTTAGAACCCAAAACCTTTTTGCTGTGTTTTGGGTTTTTGCTGCGCTATATACAAGATACAGTTTGGTCATTGTATAAAGTCGCCTTCTGGGTTCCGCCAACTTGGAATTTCACTATGATATTGCTAATCGTGTAAGCGCAGAAGTGGGGGAAGGAACGGGATGAAGGCATACTTTCTGCTTTCATGTACGACAGTCGAGTGTATGAGTATGACCGTGAAAAATTACTGCATGCTGCATGGTCGCGGTATGCAACTGACATGTGTTAAAAAACCACAGTGCGCAAAGTTTCTGTTCGTCTAATCAGAGTGCTGCGGGACAGGACACCGCAACGATCATGGCCCTTGGCGAACTGTGCGTCTTAAACTATCATAAGAAAATCTGTTGTACGTTATAAGTACTCACCATGCCATGGTGTGTGTCGGGGTGATGGATACTCACTCCAGTCAGTACAATGGTGGTTGGTCCTGAGGAAAATAAGAGCAAAATATATAATAAATATTTTTTCTATTTTTAACTTGAAAATTTCAAAATATATTTCCTACTTTGAAAATAAATATTAAGAGCGACTGTCCAGAAATATCGAGCACGGGGCGGCCACAGTCAAAAAATAAAAGTCCTTCATTTTTGGTCTGTAGACACT